AGAGGTTTTTGTTATAGGGCGCGTGCACTCACCAGAAAGACAGAGAGAGACAGAGAGACAGAAAGCGAGAAATCACCCCCCGGGAAGGATGGCCACACCACAATCCCTTCTCCTCCATTTTCCTCGGGATCTTGGGCACGCACGCACACGCGCCCAGTGTGAGTTTAAGCCACTCAGTCCGGGACTCAAACCATGATCAACTACATGGGAGTTCAGCGACATAGCCATTACGCTAACTGCTGGTCCCTTTATTTCTTTTTTAATAGACTTTTCTAGCCTTGCTGTTCTGAAGCACAGCTTCATGTTCTGGTTTTTGTTTTTCATTGTTTGTTCTATCATAAAGCCTCCCAGCCACTGACCAGGTGGATTCCAGCACCCTAACCATTACGCCACCTGCTGGCCCCATTCATTTTTTTCTTAAGGGTTTTGCCATAGGGTACATGTGCTCTCCAGAGAGAGAGAGAGACAGTGGGAGGGCCATCGCCGAGGAATGACCGAGACATAATCCCTTTTCCATTGTCCTCCTGGGATTTGGGGCACGCATGCCTACATATCTGATGTGATTTTCTTTTTTAGATTTATTTATTTATTCATTCATTCTCCAGTATGACTTTCAAGCTGCCAGGTCCAGGACTTGACTGGTGGTCGGCTATGTGATAGTCCAGCACCTTAACCACCACGCCACCTGCTGGCCCCCGTGTTTGTTTTTCATTGTTTATTCCATCGTAAAACCTGCCAGTGGCTGATAAGGTGGAATCCAGGGCCTTAACCACCATGCCGGTCCCCTGATTATTTTTTTTTTTAGTTTTTAAAGTTTATTATTTTAAGGGCCAGCAGGTTAAGGCTCTGGACTCCCACGTGGCCAACTGTGGTTTGAGTCCTGGACCCAGTGGCTTTTAACACACGGGGTGCGTGTGGGATCGTGAGAGAAGACTAGGGAAGGGGTAGCGGCTTGGCCATCCCCCCTAAGGAGGATTTCTCTCCGTCTCTCTGTCTCCAGCAAGTGCACACACCCTATAGAAAAAAAAAACAAACAAAAAACGTTGATTATTTCTTCCATCAGTGGGAAAGACAGAGAAAGAGAGGGAGAGAGAATTTCAGTAAGATCCCTGAGCCAGCCCCAGGTTCTTGGGTCCTGGGCATCTGCTTGGCTCACTCAGAGGTCTCTGGGTGCAAACCCGGAACCTTCTTGCATGGATCAGGTTGTTGCATTTTACTGCTGTCCGCCATCTGTCCCCACCCCCATCTGTGGGTCCCCATTTAGACATGTTGACGTTCCCAACCGTGCTGACGGCAGGTGGCAGGTGGTTTCACACCTGAAAACAGTCTCACTGGAATGGGACCTCTGAAGGCATGGGAAGACTTCTTTCATACACAGCTGAACACGCGGCTCTGAAAAGGATTATTAAACTTCCACTTCCTGTGCATTTCTGCCCAAGGTTAATTTTTTTTTTTTTTTTTTTTTTAGAGATTTTCACTGTAGGGCGCATGCGCTCGCCAGACAGACAGAGAGAGACATAGAGACAGAAAGCGAGAAATCACCCCCCAGGGGGGATGGTCACGCCGCAATCCCTTCTCCTCCATTCTCCTCTCGGGATCTTGGGCACGCACACACACGCGCCCGGCGTGAGTTTTAAGCCACCGGGTCCGGGACACGAACCGCGGTCGACTACATGGGACTCCAGCGACATAGCCATTACGCTAACTGCTGGTCCCCTCCAATGCTGATTTTTCAAACTACAAAGTGCTTGTGAGGGCCAGCCTCAATAGGGAGTAGCTCAGGGAGCCAGATCCCACATGATCAGCCATAGTTGGGATCCTGGGATCACAGTGGGAGACCCTCTTGAGGGTGCCTTATGTCTTGCATCAAAGAAAGAAACTTCAGGGACCAGCCAGTAGCATCGCAGTTAGGTCGTTAGGCTTCCACATGGCCAACCACAGTTCAAGTCCCGGACCCAGTGGCTTGAAACTCAGGCTGGGCGCGTGTGTGTGCGTGCCCAAGATCCCTAAAAGAGAATGGTGGAGAAGGGATTGCGGCGTGGCCATCCCCCCAGGGTTGATTTCTCACTTTCCCTCTCACTGTCTCTCTCTCTCTCTCCAGCAAGTACACACGCTCTAAGGAAAAAACTTAAAAAAAAAAAAATAAGGAAAAACTTCAAAAAGAAAAAAATACTTAGGTTGCCCGTAAGAGAAGCTGAATCCCACGTGGAGATCTTGGTTGAAGTCCTGGCCTGGTCAGCCTGAAGCACTCTGGGCACACATACGAGTGGCCAGACCCTGCGGAGGACAGTCTTCTATCACTCTGTCGTGCATGCGCTCTGTTACGAAAAAATAAAATAAATTGGGCCAGCCTGTGACCTGGTGGTTACATAAGCTGGATCCCCCATGGCCGACCGCGTGGCTCCAGTCGTAGATCCAGCAGCTTCAAACACCTACTGGGTGCGTCTATGTGCATATGGAGAGGGGCTTGAGGAGTGACCACAATTCCTGTGTGGGAGTGCTCTCTGTCTCTCTCTGGTAAATTAAACAATTGGGGTCTAGCAGGTAGCATTGTGGTTAAAATGCTGGATTTTCACGTGGGCAACTGTAGGTTCAAACCCTAGACCTGGTGGCTTGCTTTTTCATTTTCTTTCCCTCTGTCTGTGTCTCTTTCTGGTGAGTGTGTGTGTCCTATGGCAAATAAAATAATAATGATACATCTTTAAAAAGAATTTTTTTAATTTTTGGAGAGGTTTTTGCTATAGGGTGCGTGCGCTCGCCAGACAGACAGAGAGAGACATAGAGATAGAAAGTGAGAAATCACCCCCCAGGGGGGATGGTCACACCGCAATCCCTTCTCCTCCATTCTCCTCTCGGGATCTTGAGCACGCACACGCGCCCGGCGTGAGTTTAAACCACTGGGTCCAGGACTCGAACCGCAGTCGGGTACATGGGAGTTCAGACATAGTCATTACGCTAACTGCTGGTCCCAGAATTTTTAAAATTTTTTAAAAGAATAATTTATTATTAATTTTTCACATGAGTTTTGCCAGAGAAAGACAGAGAGGTAGAGAATAATAAAGAAAGCCACCGGGTCCGGGACTTGAACCATGGTCAACTACGTGGGAATCCAGCAACATAGCCATTACGCTAACTGCTGGTCCCAGAATTTTTAAAATTTTTTAAAAGAATAATTTATTATTAATTTTTCACATGAGTTTTGCCAGAGAAAGACAGAGAGGTAGAGAATAATAAAGAAAGCCACCAGGTCTGGGACTTGAACCGTGGTTGGCCATGTGGGAATTCCAGCACCTTAACCACCACGCCACCCACTGTTCCCTCTTTTATTTTTTTTAAAAATAATATATATATTTTTTAATTAAAAAAAAATTTCTTTGAGAGATTTTTGCTATAGGATTCATGCGCTTGACAGAGAGACAGAGAGATGGAAAGTGAGCTATCCTCCCCCGGGGTGGTGGGTTGGGGGAGGCCACATCATGGTCTCTGTTCCTCCATTCTCCTCTTGGGATTTTGGGCACGCACGCACATGCACCCAGCATGAGTTTCAAACCTCTGAGTCTGGGACTCACATCATGGTTGGCCACGTGGGAGTTCAGTACCAGGACCACTGTGCCACCTGCCGTCCCCCTCCCATTCATTCTTTCTTTTAAACAAAACCCGAAGGAACTCAGGTCTGTCGTTTCATCGGCTGTCATGCCGTCCGTGGTAGGGCCTGGCCCCCGTCAGTGTGTCCGCAGTCTCAGGCCCGCGGTAACTCCCTGTGGGCTCCTCCCCAGGAGAATCCGCACGGCCATGGGGACTGCGCGGAGGACTTCAAGCAGCAGATGCCGTATAAGGAGGACAAGCCCCAGGTGCCCTTGGAGTCGGATTCGGTGGAATTCAACAACGCCATCAGCTACGTGAATAAGATCAAGACCCGCTTCCTAGACCACCCGGAGATCTACAGGTCGTTCCTGGAGATCTTGCACACTTACCAGGTAAGAGCCCCAGGGCGGCACCTCTCTGAGGGGTTCGTGGTGTCGTGGGTGTCGGTGCACCGGCAGTGTTCAGATTTCCCCGTCTGAATGCATGAAATGGTGATACATTTTTTTCTTTGCCTTTTTTTCTTTTTTTTTTTTTTTAGTTTTTGCCTTAGGGGGCATGTGCTCACCAGAAACAGAAAGAGGGAAAGTGAGAAATCACCCCAGGGGGGATGGCCACACTGCAATCCCTTCTCTATTTTCCTCTCAGAATCTCGGGCACATACACACACACGCCTAGTATGAGTTTTAAGCCACCAAGTCGGGGACTTGAACCACGGTCAGCCATGTGAGAGTCTAGTGACGTAACTGCTACGCCATCTGCTGGCCCCTTGATTGTTTTTTAACTTTACTTAACTTTATTTATTCATTTATTTATTTTAATTTGATCCGAGAGACAGAGAGAGAGAGAGCGCACGCGCAAGCCACCAGGTCTAGGACTTGAACCGTGGTCGGCCATGTGGGAGTCCAGCTCCTTAATCACCCATGGCACCTGGTGGTCCCCCTTTTTTTTTTTTTTTCTTTTAAATAATTTTCCAGAGGGCATGTATGCTCTCCGGAGAGAGAGAATGAGAGAATGAGAAAACATTCTCTCTGGGGCATGACCACACCACAGTCCCTTCTCCTCTTCCCTCAGGATTTTAGGCACACATGCACAGGCGCACTGCGTGTTTTCTAGCATCCAGGTCCAGGACTCAAACTGCACAGTCGGCCATGTGGGATCTAGCCAGCCCACACACCAGGCCATGGACCCAGCCCATCTTAACTGTCCTTAAATGGCACTTAGTGTATTCAAGTTCTTGTCCAACCACCACCACCACCACCACCCCTCTCTAGAACTCTTTTCATCGTACGGAACTGAAACTGTCCCCTTTTTTGGGAGAGGTTTTTGCCATAGGGCACATGTTCTCTCCAGAAAGAGAGAGACAGAAAGCAAGAAATCACCCCCCCAGGGGGGATGGCCACGCTGCAATCCCTTCTCCATTCTCCTCTCGGGATCTTGGGCACATAATGCACACGTGCCCGGCGTGAGTTGAAGCCACCAGGTCCGGGACTCGAACCGTGGTTGACTACGTGGGAGTCCAGCGGCGTAGCTGTTAGTCAACTGCTGGTCCTGAAACGGTCCCCTTTATGTACCCACTCCCCAGCCCCCTCCCCAAGCCCTGGCTCCAGCGTTCCACCTTCTGTCTCTGAATGTGCTGCCCCTGAGGAGCTCATGGGAGTGAAACCACCTGCCCTTCATTGCTGCGTCTGGCTTATCTCACTGAGCACAAGTCCTCATAGTTGATCCAAGTTGTAGCATGTGTCAGAACCTCAGTTCTTCAAAAATCAAACCCATTTAAAAAAAAAAAAAAAAAAAAAGTTTATGTATCTTGGTGGCAGCAGCTGGTTTGGTGGTTAAAGCGCCAGACACTCCCACATGGCCAACCACAGTTCAAGTCCTGGACCTGGTGGCTTGCTTTCTCACTTTCTCTCTCTCTCTGTATCTCTCTCTGGTCAAAATAAAATAAATGAGTGAATAAATAAATTAATAATTCTTTTAAAAAATAAAGTTTCTGTATCTGTGGGGTGAGCCAGGTGACTCGGTAGTTAAAGGTGACTTGGTAGTTACGATGCTAGTCCCACATGGCCGACTGCGCTGTTTGAGTCCTGGACTCAGCAGTTTGAAGAACACACCAGGGGTATATACCTGCATGCCCAAAAGCCCGAGAGGAGCGTGGAGAAGGGATTGCACTGTAGCCATCACCCCTGGGGGGTGATTTCTCTCTGGCTGGCTGGTGAGCTCACATGCCCTATAGCAAACTAAGGAAAAAAAAAATAATAGAGATAGGAGGGCCAGCAGGTGGCGTGGTGGTTGGGACACTGGACTCACGTGGCCGACTGTGATTCGGGTCCCAGAACTGGTGGCTTTCTCTCTCTCTCTCTCTTTCTCTGTCTTTGTCTCTTTCTGGTGAGCACACATACCTTATAGCAAACTTAGAAAGTAGTAACAATAATAAATAATGTTGAAAAGTAGGGACCAGCAGTTAGCGTAATGACTATGTCACTGGCGTCCCATGTAGTTGACTGTGGTTCACGTCCCGGACTCGGTGGCTTAAACTCACGCCGGGCGCGTGTGCGTGCGTGCCCAAGATCCCAAGAGGAGAATGGAGGAGAAGGGATTGTGGCGTGACCCTCCCACTTGGGTGATTTCTCGCTTTCCATCTCTCTGTCTCTGTCTTTCTGGGGAACGCACGCACCCTGTAGCAAAAACCTCTCCAAAACAAAGAAAGAAAAGTAAAATAATCACAAAAATGGGTAGCTACCCACAGTGGTGCCACTGTACACAGTCTAAGTGGCTGGGAATGGCCCAGACACTTCAGTAAATTCTGTACGCACCTTGGCTTAAATCTCAGGTTGCTTTGTTACAGTGGGGGCTTAGGGAGGTGGCGCACCTGCGATGGGGGCCTGGGGGCCAGCAGGTGGCGTAGTGGTTAAGGCACTGGACTCCTACATGGCTGACTACAGTTCAAGTCCTGGGCCCGGCCACTTGAAACTCACCCTGGGTGTTTGTGTGCGCATGCCCAAAATCCCAGGAGGAGAATGTAGAAGGGACTGCAGTGTGGCCATCCTCCCCAGGGGCGATTTCTCACTTTCTCTGTCTCTCTCTGGTGAGAGACATGCGCCCTATGGCAAAAAAATCTCTCAAAAAAAAAAAAGAAATGCGGAGGGCGAGGACCAGCAGGTGGCGTGGTGGTCAAGGTGCAGGACACTCCCACATGGCCCACCACGGTTTGAGTCCCGGACCTGGTGGCTTGCTTTCTCACTTTCCCTCTCTCTCGCTCTCTGTGTCTCTCTCTGGCCAAATTAAAATAAATGAATGAATAAATAAATAAACTGAAGTAATTCTTAAAAAATGAAATGGGGACCTTGTCTCCCCCTGTGACGGGATGACCCCTGCCACGGTGGGGCACTGAGCAGGCGTGTGGACGGGAGGGTGGACAGTGTGGTCTGTGTGCTCTCGCTGTGGTTCCTGTGGCTTGGGTCTGGCCCTGCAGTTTTCCGTGCTCACCCAGGTATTTCTTGCAGACAGGCTCCGGCACAAGCCAATGCAAAATTCACGGGGTGCTCAAACCATTCCCTCGTACGCAGATCCCGTGCACACAGATTCGCCTGTTCACACCAAGCACCACTGCTAAACGCTCGCTGCACGGTAACCTCCCTGAAAGTGCGTCCCTCATGTGAGGGCATGCCCACGGTCCGTGTTCATGGGTGTTGCCAATCTCCCTGAAAGGTCACACTGCTTTTCTTTTCCGCCCTCTGCACCTGACAGCGCCTGTTCCCTCATCCTCGTCGGAAATCGCAGCCCTTTCTGTCGGCCGAGCGGGCAGCTAGCTGTTCCGGGCTGTTGCGTTAATTTTCAATTCCTTTGCCTTTTCCTTTTTTTTTTTCTTTTTCATATTTTGCTGGAGGGCACACGCGCTTGCCAGGAAGAGACAGAGAGGGAGAGAGCTCCCCACCACCATGGAGCGTGGTCCATGCTGCCGTCTCTTCTCAGCTCTCCTTCCTGATGGGATCTCGGGCACGCACATGTGTGTGCCCAGCATGTTCCTCAAACTGCCGGGGTCAAGACTTGAACCACAGCATTAGCCATGGGGCATCTAACTGCCTCCACTACCAGGCCGTGGAGCCAGCCCATATAATAAGCACGCACGTGTGTGTGTGTGTGTGTGTGTGTGTGTGTGTGTGTGTGTGTGATATAAAATATATAAAAGCATTATAGTGTAATATGTATATTTTACATATATTTTTACTTGTGTGTGCGTGTGTGTAATATAAAATATATAAAAAGCATTATGATTTGTATATTTTACATATATTTTACTTGCGTGTGTGTATATATACATATATATATAAATATATAAAACTTATGAGCAAGGGCATCTGTGCATGCACAGGAAAGACAAATACGGGACCAGCAGTTGGTGTAATGGCTGTGTCGCTGGACTCCCATGTAGTCGACCGTGGTTCGCGTCCCGGACCCGGTGGCTTAAACTCATGCCGGGCGTGTGTGTGTGCGTGCCCAAGATCCCGAGAGGAGAATGGAGGAGAAGGGATTGCGGTGTGACCATCCCCTCTGGGGGGTGATTTCTTGCTTTCTCTCTCTCTCTCTGGCGAGCGCATGTGCCCTATAGCAAAAATCTCTCCAAAAAAAAAAAGACATAAATACTCCCAGGAGGGTCTGGAAACACTATGATCTTATTCCCCCAGCCCTTCTTCTAGTCAGGATCTTGGGTGGGCATGTGCCTGACATGTTTTCAGGTCGACTTGGGATCCGAACCCACGATCCACCATGTGGCTCCCAGCACTGCAGTTCAGTGTACTACTGAATAGGTCACCAGACTGAGTCTCTTGCACTGTTCTATTAATTTTTTTTTTAAGAGGCTTTTGCTATAGGGCGCGTGCGCTCACCAGACAGAGAGAGACATAGAGACAGAAAGCGAGAAATCACCCCCCAGGGAGGATGGTCACGCCGCAATCCCTTCTCCTCCATTCTCCTTCTGGGATCTTGGGCACGCACGCACACGTGCCCGGCGTGAGTTTTAAGCCACCGGGTCCGGGATGCAAACTGCGGTCGACTACGTGGGAGTCCAGCGACACAGCCATTACGCTAACTGCTGGTTCCCGGTATTTTTATTTTATTTATTCATTTATTTAAATTTACCATAGGGCACGTGTACTCACCTGGAGAGAGACAGAGGGGAAAAAAAAAAAATCTCCAGGTCTTGAACCATGGTCAGCCATATGGGAGTTTGGCATCTGACCAACACACCATCTTCTGACCCCTTAGTTTTCTTTCTTTTTTTTTTTTTTTAACAATTTTTGCCATAGGGCACAGGTGCTCACTGGAGAGAGAGAAAGAAAGGGAAAGTGAGAACTCACCCTCGGGGGCATGAACGTGCTGCAGTCTCTTCTCTTTCTTTCCCCTCTCAGGATTTTGGGCACAGACGCACACTTGTCCAGGGTGGTTTTTAGGCTGCTGAGTCTGGAATGCGAACTGCTGTCAGCCACGTCAGAGTCCAGCATCCTAACTTCCATGCCACCTGCTGTTCTGATAGGGTTTTTTGTTTTTGTTTTTGTTTTTTTTTTGAGAGGTTTTTGCTATAGGGCACGTGCGCTCACCAGACAGAGAGAGACAGAGAGACAGAAAGCGAGAAATCACCCCCCAGGGGGGATGGCCACGCCGCAATCCCTTCTCCTCCATTCTCCTCTCGGGATCTTGGGCATGCACGCACACGCGCCCGGCGTGAGTTAAGCCACCGGGTCTGGGACATGAACACGGTCGACCAAATGGGAGTCCAGTGACATAGCCATTATGCTAACTGCTGGTCCCCTCTGATAGGGTTTTGTTTTGTTTTCTTTGGAGAGGTTTTTGCTGTTGAGCACGTGCACTCGCCAGAAAGCAAGAAATCACCCCCCAGGGGGGGATGGCCACGCCGCAATCCCTTCTCCTCTTGGGATCCTGGGCACGCACGCACACACGCCCAGCGTGACTTCAAGCCACCGGGGCCGGGACTCGGACTGTGGTCGACTACATGGGAGTTCAGTGACATGGCCATTACGCCGTCTGCTGGTCCTTGGTTTGTTTTTTAAGATAGGGGGCATGTGCACTTGCCACAGAGACAGAAAGTGAGAAATCACCCCCAGGAGGGATGGCCATGCCACAATCCCTTCTCCATTCTTCTCCTGGGATCTTGGGCACGCATGCACACGCACCTGGCATAAGTTTTAAGCTGCCGGGTCTAGGACTTGAATCTGGGTCAACTATCTGAGAGTTCAGTGACGTAACCATTACGCCATCTGCTGGTGCCTGATGGGTATTTTTGACTGATCCCCCCACACTATGACCCTCCCGCCTCAGCCTCCCTGTGAGCTAGGATCACGGGAGTGTGCCCTGCTCCCAGGGTGTTCAGGTTGGACTGGAGCCTGAACCCAGACCTCCCTATCTCATAGGTGCGACTTGACCAGAACTTGAACCCAGGTGTCTCACATCCCTGTGCTCTGTTTCCCTCCCATTGCTGTCAGCTCCCGGTCAGGCTGCCTGCCTTCGACACCTCAGGGCTTGGTGACCCTGGGTCCCTACATCCCTGGGCCTGCAGGTCCCTTCACAGCCCTGCACCAGCCCCTGCTCCCCTTGCCCTGGGTTCACCTCTGACCTTACCCTGATCCCAGCCAGCCTGACGCCTCCCACCCCAGCTCGGGTCCCATCCGCACTGCTGGCTCAGGCTTGTCGCGTGTCGTGCGTGCCGTGGAATCACAGCACACGTGCATGCAGGGCTGTTGCCGCCTCCCCACCACAGCGGGTTTCCTGTTTCCGAGTCGTCCCTCTGTGTCCTCTGCCCGCCACGGGATGCGGCGAGTCACAGCCCAGGGGTCCTTGCTCATTGTCTCACGAGCACGCGCTTCCCTCTTCCCCACCCCCGGCAGAAGGAGCAGCTGAACACGAAGGGCCGGCCGTTCCGGGGCATGTCCGAAGAGGAGGTGTTCACAGAGGTGGCCAACCTCTTCCGGGGCCAGGAGGACCTGCTCTCCGAGTTCGGGCAGTTCCTGCCCGAAGCCAAGCGCTCCCTGGTGAGTACCGAGAGCTGCGGCCATCCTTCCAGGACACACTGGGCTCCCCCGGAAGCTCCAGGGAACAGACACCCAGGGACCCCCATTGCAGCTTGCCCACACCAAGCTGCTAACAGGTTCTTTTCTTGTTCGTTTTTTTTTTTTTTAAAGTGGTTTTTGTCTTAGGGCACTAGAGACCGAGACAGTGAGAGGGAAAGGAAGAAATCACCCCCCAGGGGAGATGGCCACACCTCAATCCCTTCTCCACTCTCCTCTCAGGATCTTGGGCACGCATGCACACACGCCTGGCGTGAGTTTAAGCCACTGGGTCT